ATGTATGTATGTATGTATGTATGTATGTATGTATGTATGTATGTATGTATGTATGTATGTATGTATGTATGTATGTATGTATGTCCATCTTTTTTTCCTCCCCCAATTTCTCCTAGTGGACCCAACCTTTGCATAAACATTGCCCAGGGCACTGTGATGTACCAACATCTATATGAGTTATACAAATACTTTATACAAACCCAGTAATCATATATATTTGCAAATTTGACTGTTTTATTGAGCACCAAATCTCAAATTAGACTGTTTGTATCACAATACAACATATCATAGTGTCATACCATAATGATCATAGAGTATGTATATTCAGTGTTGGGGAGTAACGGAATACATGTACCACTGTTACGCATTTAAAATACAAAATATGAGTAACTGTATTCCATTACAGTTACCGTTTAATAGGTGATATTCAGAATACAGTTACTTTGTTGAAATGAATGGATTACACGGCGGTATTTTCCTGTTAAGGCTATGCCCTCTCCATTTTTGGTTTCCACGCTGGTGGAAACCCAAAATAAAACACACATTAAGAGGCTCTAATGTCTGTGTCTCAATCTCGCGGCCCATGTCACCCCTACTTGCAGCCCGCATAATGACGTGAAGAATTTTTTTTTTTTTAATTATTCACAAAATTTATTTAATATGAAGGCAATAGGCAGAGTGTTACAGGCATAGCCCTAAAGAATGTCGCCTCATGGACAGTGTAGTCCGTGCTGCAGGAAGAATGGCCTGCCATACCAGTTATGTGTCTGGGAGCGCGAGGAGAGAGAAAAAGAGTTGAAAAGTACGAGTTGTCACCCACCAGAAACGAGAGATGGAAGCGTGTAAATATAATAATAACCACTGCAGCCAAAAAGAGTGGGTGACAAGCCCAGTTGTAAGTAAGCCATTAAGACTCGACTGTACACTGTTAGTGTTTTCCTCTCAAACAATAAGTTGGAGCAGCCTTTCAACGCCTCTCTGTCTCTTGCTAGCAAAGGTGACCCAGACAACAAAGTAAAGCTAGTTTTCGGCTACGAGCCCGACATATTAGCCAGAGGTCCCTTTACGGTTTTACACCTTTACGGTTCGGAGCCGCGGACCTGTTTTATATACGCGTGGAATAGTTTCTATACGAGATCGCTGCAAAAAGTGCAGTCTTACATGTCCACCCTACTGTTACTCATTTTTTTTATATTAAGATTTAAAAATCTAGTTTGTATTGGAATTTGTATGGCGAATAACCTTCAGTAAAAGTAATAAAATCACACAGCAATAGCACATTCATGTAGTTGTAAAAAGCACGATAATATATTAAGTAATCCAAAGTATTCAGAATACGTTACACTCACTGAGTAACGGAATACGTTACAAAATACATTTTGGGGCATGTATTCTGTAATCTGTAGTGGAATACATTTTAAAAGTAACCTTCCCAACACTGTGTATATTCCCAATCTCCCAGTATGCACTGCAAAATGGGGTTTGATAGTAATATTAACAACAGTAATAAGACTAATGTTCAATTAATGTTCAAGAATTTAAACAAAGAAGTTTAATCGCAAAGTAAAAACAGAATATCATACCAGGGGCAGTGATGGTCCATTTTCAGCACACACCTTGAAAAAAAGCAAGAAGCACAATGTGCATCCTATCAGTACCATCCAGTATATACCAACATATTGATCTTTTCAATGATCCAGTAAACAAAAACAACACATTTGATAAACCCTTATTAAGATATTAGTTTTCCATATTATCACTTTACTAAAAAACAAAGCAAAAAAAAAAAAAAAACATTTAAAAGTATTCTGTAACGTTTCCTGAATTTCTATTGCCAGAAGAAGAAACTACTTTAGGGTGGATGTTTTAAGAAGATCTTATTCAGGAATGTGTTGATAAAGTGTGGACACTTAGAGAGGACTCACATTTCACAGGTTGAACAGTGATGGCAGCGATCAGGCTTGATTACCTGACAGAAGTCGCAGTATCTGATGGCTAGAGAGAGAGAGAGAAAAAAAAAATTAACTGTATACCTGCTGGATATTCTTAAAGCATATTCGTTAAATCCCCCTGTGAATCCAAGCGGGTCACATCCTGACTTTTAATTAGCAGGGGAGCCAGAAGAGAAAGCAAGGTGCACCTGAGTCTAATTAACCCTCCTGACACAGGCTTTTCCGTAAACACAGCACAGACAAGCATAGTATGTATTAAACTGAGAAACAACCAGAGAAGACATGTGATTGTCATTTGTAATGCTTTTGCAATGTTGATGGCTGATGATGTGCACTTCCTCTTTTGTCAGAGCAACATTTTGCTAACAGAGTTTTCCCTGATGGTGTGTAAAACAAAACAAAGCACAGTCACTTACTACACTGTATCTAAAGCCATACCTCCTCCAGTTGTGCGTGTGTACACGGGTAAATTCCTCGCCACTTTCTTCAGAATCTCTTGTTGGGCCTCAGCTCGCTCTTCTCTCTCATACAGCTCCTTCTCTGCCCTGGGTAGACTGAACTGACAACAGAAAAAGAAAACTGTTCAGTGATCAGTGTTTTGTTTATTTCCTCTCTTCCACTAAGCGAGGAGTGTGACAGAAGCAAACTTACTGCTTTTGAGGGATTGGCTGGTTTGGACCAGATAGTTTTCCAGTAAGCCCATATGAACATGGCGAGGAAAATGTGAAAGATAACCAAGTAGCTGACTGTTGTAGAAAAAAAGAAAAGAAGGATCCTTAGCGGGAGAGAAATAACAGCATCAAATATGAGTGAGTGTGTGTGTGTGAGGGCAATTCTTACTTCGTTCAGCATTATTTGGGATTGTATCTATAGGAAGAAGGTAAAGTATATGTGTATATATTAGTTAGGAGTAATACATGACTACACATCCCCCACTTCTCTTTCTCTTCCTCACACCATGTTGCAGCAGCCTGGCACGGCCAGCAGTGACCCACCCACAACAGAGAGCTTTGTTTAAGCATCAGCAGGGATGTCCCTGTCCTGACCACAGCCGCAACACAGAGACATGCTGATACTGGTCTCATCAGCTCCCGCCTGAATCAAACTATTTAACTTAGCGTCTGTGTGTTGGAGCAGCACAAATCACACGACACACAACTTATTAAAAACTGCTGGGGAAAAAAATAGCATAAACACTTAGGACTTACTCAGGAACGCGCCAAATAAATTATGTTTACTAGAATTCAAGTTACAATTACAGAATCCACTCCTGGAAGTTAAATGTGCAAAACGGGTACAAACAAATACGAATCAAATTCCCTTTTTATTTCCTCCTGAAACGACAAGTTGTTAAAATTTAATATTGAAAAATCATTTTTAAACTGCTCAAAATATGTTTAATTACAGATAAATACACACTAATAGCATCAAAAAGTCACGGACTAGATTTTAAAGCTGGCTCGGAAGCACCTCATTTATTGACACCCCAAAACTATATAAAATAACAACAATAATAGCAGCTAGTAAATATATCTAGTAAACTCAGAAAGTTTTAACATGATTAAGCAACACACAAACGACAAACCCTTTCACAGTCAATCCACTTTTCTATTTTTATGATATCCGTTATTTGACCCATTACGTCTGCCCTAATGGAGTGATTAATTATTAACGGAGAAAAGTATTTCCTCTCACTGGAGGGGAAGAAAAAAGTAGACAAACGAAGCTGTCATGAAAAAAAAAAAAAATTATGTAAAATATTTCCATGAAAAGGAGAGACAGAAATATGTGTTAATATTCGCCAAACGTTTCATCGCATTACGGAGTGTGAAGCCAGATTTTAAATCTTCAACTAGCTTATCAAAGTTTCAAACCCTGTCACTGTCAACGCACGCGGCCGCTAAACGTTTATAAAGGTGAGCGCACTTACAGACACACAGCTCGACAACGTAGGCGTAATAGGACCAGCCGACGACCAGGTTAATAAACAGGACAGGTACCCAATTCAGAGCCCGTTTACAGCACCTTAGTGCGTGAGAGGGCGCCATCTTTAATCCGTGTTTGACATTAGCTGACGGTGACGTCACAACCACGGCTTTTAAATGGTCCAGCCAAAGATGCATTAGGCTCAAGATACTTCACCGCAGTGCAGGCGACGAGGAACGGAACGTGGATGTTTTAGTTGTTCAAAAAGTGAAATTTAAGTATATTTTTAACGCACCGTTCGTAATCATTCCTCTCAGCAGAGAAACAGTCATAATAAAACACAGTGGCAGCTAAAGTTGAGGTCTTCTTAGGGCGTATTGAAGCATGTCAGCCTGTTAACCCACAACATTGAAATCATGACTCTCACAATCTTTGGCTAGTTAGTTCCCTCGTGATATGCTCAGACTTTTGTATTTATGAGTAAGAATATGTTGAAAATAAACAAAAAACAAGCAATTTTAGGCCACTCATTAGGTTTAGTAAACCAGAAAAAAAGTCAAACAGAATAGGTCAAAGGTTTCATTTGTTTGTTCATTTATTATTTTGTCCAGCTGGGGGCAGAGAAACACAATGCTGTGTGAAGTTGTAGAGCACAGTTAACCATTGTTTTGGAGCTCGGTGTCTGTCCACCTTTTTGCAATTAAGTAATTTTAGTCTCCACTCCTAATTTGCTAGATGCCTTAATTGTCTTTCTCTTTTTTATTGATTCTTTTTTTCGCTTGGTGCTAGCTGGGCAAGACGGGTGTGTGAATAAGAGAGAGGCGGGAGTTTAAATACCTGGGGTTAGCCATTTAAAGCAATGGACAGTGAAAGAACTGAAGAAGCGAATGTTGGTGAATGCAATTATCCTGTCTTATTCCCCCCAGGGTGCCCCTCCCTGATCGTTTTTCTACCGGAGGTTTCTTCCTGTTGAAAGGGTTTTTCCTTCGTAATGTTGCCAAATGCTCGCTCATAGAGGCTTATTTGATTATTAAGGTTTTTTACTTCTTATTTACTTCTTTTTACTTTGGGAGAGTGATAAGAAGGAAATTGTTAAATAAATACATTCTGTGACTGACCTCTTTTATTTCTATAAAACTGCTTAAACCTTTATTTATTAAGTCTTCCTTACACCATCATGAAATTGCCTTAGTTTGCCAATACAAAGCAAAAGTTTCAGTGTAGTACATTACAGTTTTAGGTGGAGAACCTCACCGACACTCAAGATTTTTATTGTTTTGAAGATGAGCATGTGCTCCATTACATTTAGTGTTGTATGAAAGAAACACAAATGATAATACAAGATGACATCCAAACAAAATTTTAATGTTGTTTTTCTTTTCTTTTCTGTACACACACATTATGTACATGACGTTGGACTTAAATACACCCCTAATAAATTAAATATTTTCATTTTTAGTTGCTAGTTATAATTAATAGCCTCCTTTCAGAACATTTTCTTCCAAATGAATGGCAAATAGACTGCAAGAGGACAAATGAGGAGCTCATTGTGCATGCTTGCTGTTTATAGAGGCAACTTTCGGTGACGAGCGTGAACGTCTCCCCTTTTTAGTTGAAGAGTGGGAAGATGGAGAGGAAGGTGGGGAGGCAGTTGCAGAAGAGGGGGTGGAGTCAGAAGAAACTGAGCGTCTTCTGGTGGGACTGCTGCTTGGTGAGCCATGGGGCGAAGAGTAGGGTGACAGGGCCTGGAGCATACGGCCACTTCTCTCCTGAATTGCATGCTAAACAAGGGCAGACACAGATCAGATTTTCACTGTGTGTAATGCTATGTTCTGTTGCAGTGATTTAAAGAATGCCTCTTGTGATTCAGTTTATGAAGACGTGCTTGTTTTTGCTCACACACAGACTTTTTTCTAGTTAAGAAGACTGAAATTAAATCTTGTGCTACAGTTAGTGTGTGACATTTTTATGGTGAAAGTGAACATACCCATGCTCCATCTGGTCCGAAAAGCTCCAGAAAGTTGCCAATGAATTCCCGTGACTTCTCTTCCCATTTGTGGATGAGGTCCTGGCTCTTCTCTTCCACCCTGTAGACAAAATGTTTCGACTTTTCCTCCACCGTACGGACTGTCTCTTTCATCTTGTCCACCTGGTTCTGAAGCCGGTACTTTTTCTCCTGAAATAAAGTAAGGTGCATTTGTGTCTAATTTTGTATTTACAGCCTTTTTTTCCTTTTAAGTTTGATTAAAAATGAAATATTTTCTTACATTAATGAAGCCAACATTTAGTTCACGGGCTGTGTAGCCTCTTTGCAGGTTGCGTCTGACATACATGTCGTAATTACGAACGATACGAGTGATCAGATCGGATGTGGAGATGCCCTCCGTCCTCTGAGTGGCCACAAACATTCCTGACATGAACACACAAATACTTTAAATATGTGTAATTAATTATGAGAAAGAAGACAACTAGAATTTATTTTAACGTTGCATGAATCTTCACCTGCTTCCTTGATGTGTTTGTAGACGTCCTCTGATCCAGCGGAGGTGTAAGGTATATCATCATGGGCCACAAAGTCAATCTATGAATGCAACAGAACGGTCTACAGACAGTTTGGACACCGTATAGCTTTAACACTTTATGACATTATAGGAAGCTGTGTTTAAAGTTACTGTGTGACCTTTGACCTTATGTTTCTTGAGGAATTCTGGTGTAAGACTCCAGGGTGCATCCCGCACTACCTCGTCAACGTAACGGCAGTGCCTGAGGGCTTCGTAGCGTTCGTCCTCTGTCATCACCGTATAGCCCTTAAACTTGTGAGTGAGTTCATCGCTGCACACTAGGAACACAGAGATTTTCAGTGCTTGCCTCCTTCCTGATTTCTTTTTTTTTCCCCCCCATATTTGCCACACTGACATGTTTCAGATCATCAAACTAATTTTAATACTGGACAAGTTAACCTGAGTAAATACATAATGCAGTTTTTAAATGATGTTTTCGTTTATTAATGGTAAAAAGCTATCCGACCTTACCTGGCCCTGTGTGAAGATGTAATTTTTCCATAAACAATGAAGCATTAAGATCAGTCTTTCGCTTTGGAGGAATTTGGGTCCACTCTTCTTTGCAGAATTGTTTGAATTTGGCCACACTGGAGGATTTTGTACCATGAATGGCCCGTTAAACGTTACGCCACGGCAGATTGTTTCGGATCACTGTCCTACTGCATAACCTAAGTGAGCTTTGGGAAACAAACTACAGGGAGTGCAGAATTATTAGGCAAGTTGTATTTTTGAGGAATAATTTTATTATTGAACAACAACCATGTTCTCAATGAACCCAAAAAACTCATTAA